TTTGCTGCTTCTGGACATCCTCGGCAGGACAGTGTAAGCTTACAGAGGTGCTTATATGAACCTATTCAATTTTCTCCTTGCTAAAGCCCAACTCTTCTTTCACTCACAATGACCTCCTGCTCCCTCTTCTGCTGGGCACATATTTCTAATTCAACATGCAGAAACTAAAACATCTTTTTATTTATTTCACACTGTGAAGTTGCACCTATTTTTCACCAGATCAGTTATATTTTCCTTTTATTTTTAGGATTTACAGTTTGTCCTGCACACAGTCTTTGGGAAACACATACCAAACTGCAGCAAATCAATAATTCATTTGAACAAGAAAAAAAAATAAAGAAAAAATTCAGCAGGCTCCCTCTGATTCCTAACTATACATGGACAGATGCCAACTAAACCTCTTGATCCAGAGCCATTTAGAGCTCTGTTCTCTGGAAGCCATGTGGGCTCAGCAAAAGTACGTTTCCAGGCAGAGGTGTTTATATTCTTGTACATCCTTCCTCACTAAATGAACCTTGCGTACATTCTAGTCAACCCCTGCATGTAAAAGAAAAGGGAAAGCGGACAAGCATTGAGCTATGTTTTTAATATCAAACAGCACCAGTTCTGACAGACCAGTGGGGAAAATAAGAACAAGAACTGCAGAGCTTTCCTTACAATCAGCCCGATGCCTGCGTGGCCCTGTGCAAACACAGCGTACAAGCATTTGGACAGACCTCTCGATGAAACCAGCTACAAAATAGCGTAGGCCCTCTACACAATGCCAGAGATGGCAAAACTGCTCATAGTTACTGAGAAACTTTAAAAGGAAGAGGAGAGTTATCTTGAAAGCCATGGCAAACAGCAATACATGCTGGAGGGAATTCAACATAGACAGTTCGTACTCTTATGTTCATCAATGAGAGCAAATTAAAACTGGCCTTATGCACTCAATGCATAGGACTGGAGTATTTAAAAAAAACTCAATATGTTAAGCGCAGTATATCTCCAGAGAAATTAGGTATTGACTGCATGCCTCAGTGAGTAGAAAATCTACAAAAATCCATAGGAGGCATTGATCCAAATATTACTTTTTAACACTAACTATGTAACAATTTTTTAAATGTACATCGAGTGCAGATATAATTCTCTTTAATTATCAATCAACAAACAAAAAGGTAATACTGTTTATACAGTACGGTCTTTAAAAATGAATGCAATGAATAGACTCAAATACTATGCTAAAACTAACAACACAGCTGCATCAGAAGAAAAGGGTTTTAAATTTAAAAGCCCCACATGCAATGAGATCCGGCCATCCAACACAGGAGTGCTGGTGGTGTGGGTGAGATCCTGTGGCAAAGCCCAACTTGGGCCCTGAATTGAGATTCAAAGTGAAGTCTAGACTTAGACAGGGGATGTAACTGAGGTTGTAATGAATACTTGCATTGAAATGCTTGCAATGAAACACTCAAACCAAACAAGTGCAGAAATCCCCCAGGCAGCACTGCAGTGCGGAAGAGCCAGGCTGTGGAGCCCACAGACACTGGGCGCAGCACAGGTGAGCTGTGCAAAACTAAAGACAAAATCAGCACCAAGAGATGCTCCCAGCCTTTCCCAGCTCAGGAGGAATTCCCCTTCAGTTCCAGCACCAAGTCAAAGCCACCAGCACCATCAGTGTACACCAGCATGCACTCAAATATGAATCGATGAATCTCTATGAAAATAACTTACTTGAAGGCAGCGATTCACCACCAGCTGCCACAGGAATGGCAGGGGCGGCTCACTCAGCCCTTACCAGAGGCTCTCAGAAGAACACGGACTAATTCTACCACACAGAAGTGTTACCACGCAGTGGCTGCTGGTAGGAAACTCTCTGGATCTCAGTGGACTGCAAAACCTCCACACCTAATGAACTCCACAGAGAGCTTGGGGAATAAACAGGCATGCAGCTGGGTTAATCTCTCAATTCAACTAGGGAAACACCAGTGTTGATTTGAATTAGTGGGAAGTCATTACATCTGATTGGCTTTATGCAAGGAGGTTATAATCTTTAAGCATTGCCAAGAGGCGCTTTTGAAAGCCACAAAATCATAATTTTGTTTTAAGTTTCAGCATGTACCTCAAAACACTGTATATCTTCAGGCAGGTACTCTCTGAATGAAGGCAGAGCAAGGCAGAATGTTCTAATTTGTCTAGCTCAATACAAGAGGGGCTACAAGAAAGATGGGGAGGGACTTTTTACAAAGGCGGGTAGTGACAGAACAAGGGGTAATGGCTTTAAACTGGAAGAGGGCAGGTTTAGATTAGATATTGGGGAGAAATTCTTTGCTGTGAGGGTGGTGAGACACTGGAACAGGTTGCCCAGAGAAGCTGTGGATGCCCCCTTGGAAGTTTTCAAAGCCAGGCTGGATTAAGCTTTGAGCAATCTGGTCTAGTGGAAGGTGTCCCTGCTAATGGCAGGGAGGTTGGAACTGGATGATCTTTAAGGTTCCTTCCAACCCAAACCATTCTATGATTCTATGAATACAGCAACTGATACTATTCAGGGGTTTTGAGGTTTGAGATATGTTTATGTTGCTACATACACTCAGGAAATGCCCTCTGGAAAAGACCTCATTTATATTAAATAACATTAAAAAATTGGAATTATATTCCAAAAGCATTGACATAAATATTCCACCCTGAAAAACTGGGTACCACCAGAATGAAGGCTGTCTATGCAGCTTTATTTTGCCAGCAGTGAAACAGTCTTTAAACGCTTTTCAGAAGAGCCCCCCACCTCACTTGGTACACGAGACTGCGCTGAGACCAGTCACAAGTCAGGAGTACAGGAGACTGTTGAGCAAAGAAGCCCTTTGCCCCAGCTGTTGGAAACATCTCCACAACTCTAAACCTCACAACAAGAGGTAAGACAAGGGAAACCAGCCGCTGTGTTCTGCCATCTGGACCCGTGCAATCTCCAACAGAAGTCGCTGCAGACGTGTATTTTCCCTGGGATGTTGAGAGACCTGCACAAATGGGAAACTCTGGCAATTTGACCTTAATGGATTCAGGCTGTTACAGGCTCAGAGCTGAGGCATGCAATGTGAATAGTTTGGATTCTCTCTGACATACCAGATACCACACCATGTTCTGCTGGCTTTTCTGGCAGAAGCATCAGAAAAATCTGCAGATTTTGTTTGCAGCTATCAACAAGCAAAAAATTTTCAAGTGTAAGATGGGGGTAAGCTCTCTCAAGCTACCTTTCTGAATATTTTGTTTTCTGGAGTCCTCCACTTTTCACAAATTCCATCATGGCTTTAGCTACTTGAGGGGGTAATCTAACCCAGAGACTACAAAAGTCAACAACTTAACTCACACTTGCATGTGCACACCCGCTTTGCCACCCAAGTCTGTAAAATTTCCCTACTCTTTCAAATAAAAGGAATTATCTGTCCTGTAATCACATACTCTGGTCCACCAGACAAACTAGCTGCTATAACCATCCTGCTGCCAAATCCCAAATACTCCAAACTCCACCTGTTCTTCAAACAGCATCCACATCAAATACTAGTCCACAGCCACACCGCTCACACTACCAGGAAAAACAGCCAGAGTCAGATCTCCAGAAAACGCAGTCTATGCTTGGGAGGGCTAGAAGAGTCTAAAACAGATGCACTCTTCACCACAAAGTATTTTTTAGCAGGTGAAATTGTGCAATTGTCTTAGCAGCAAATACTTGACAGTCTTACTTCATTTTTCCTAATGACCAGAGTTAAACGATTGCAGGTTTTTAACAGCGCCGGCAAATTATCAAGACCCTCTACATTACATGGTCAATGGTCCTTTTAATAGAAAAAGCAATAATATACAGTTGTTTGTGCCAACTAAAACTCATTAGAAAGTATTAGTTTAAGGTAACAGTTCAGCAGCTATTAACAAGCACAAGTTTCTACAGCTATCACTTGTGACACTATGATCCTAGCAAAGCTGGCAGCAGAAAACCGTTCCTTTTGCTTCAGAAGATCTTGGGGGTGGGGGCAGGGAATAGAGGAAAGAAAAGTTAACAAAAACAGTGTTTCGTAGCAAGAGTCAAAGTTTTTCAATAATCACCATTTTTTTCACTAGCATAACATTAGAATTGACTTTTTGTCTTGCTGACATAGCAACTGAGAAAGTTGTGTTGCATTGACCATATTGATTGTGAACAATGCAGCCATCAGGGGGACTTTGCACCATATATTTTCGATATTGACCTCCCATTCCCTTTTCCATGGCGCTATGGGTCTGCTATTGGATTTGGACTGCAGTGTAATAAACAGCTAAGGTTTAATTAATGGTAAATGAATACAAGACATAGGTTATGACTTTAACTAATTAGGGAATTGTTGAATTAAGTCTGCCTTGGAATGCAAGGCAGTACAATCAATATCCAATAAAAGGACTATGTATGTAATTTACCTGCAAATGCGTTTCCAATACCATCAAAGTGAGTTTAAATAAGTAAGATATATGAAAGGCTACTGGAAAAAATTTCAAAAAGTTAACACTTTATGGCTTCAAAAAAGGTTTTTCTCCTTGCAGAAGGAATGTCATCTTGAAATATCCTCTCGTAACACAGATGGTGACACTCAGACACAGCTCTCCCTAAAGGACAGTGCAGACTCGAAACATTTTTCCTTGACAATGCAACATTAGCAAATATTGCCTCTGCCTGTCTACAGAGTATAGCAAACACAAACCAGTACTCCCAACATGAACCAATTAAGTTTAATGGCAAGCTCTTCTTAGGGCATCTTGGTCCCCCTTCCAGTACCATACATGCAGCAGCCTTGCAGTTTTAATCGTGCTTCCCCCCCCGCCCCCTTCCCTCACCAGCCCTTGAGAAGTGTTCCCAGGTACAAGAAGAGGTCACCACACAAGGGTCTGATCAACCCTGAGCAATCCCCAAGACTACTTCTATTGTACACATCAGCTCACACAGCCTGATTACTCATTCTGTAATCACTCCTCTGAAATAAAAAAAAAAAGAAACCTACCTACTCCCTTGTGGGCATCTATGCTGGTAAACTCTATTGTCCCATTATGGCCCTTCCTAGGATTTTCCTGATACTGTTTGTGGTTCCCATTGGGACAATATCTGTAGGAAAGTCCATAATCTGCAAGATAAACCTGGAAGACATGAACAGACAAATGAATAATGCTTTTGTCCTTTGAAAGTATAACCTTTATAATTAAGTCTTAAGAAACTGATAGGTTAAGGACAGCCTTAGATCTAAATTTTATTAAACCAAATGGTGCCTCAGGATAAAATATGTACAACTGGGGGCCATAACAGCTGCCCTCCCCATTTAAAGCCTTCCACTACTATACTCTTATTTCAGAGTCAAGTAGAATTTCAGTCTTTTTATTTTGTTCCTAAGCTCTCTCCTCTCCAGGTGGGCATCTAGACATCATAAACTGCAATATGCCTTTTATGTATCATTGCTTATGGGACTCCTTCATCTCTTTACTTAAACAGGCACATACACACCCCTGTTCAAATTTTCCATCTGCTGAGACTGAACAATTTCATAACAGCAGTGCAACTTAAAAGCTGCAGCGGCAGCGAGAGGCAGCAGCTTCCCCCGGCTGGACTGGACAGAGGGCTCCATGCCAACAGGGACTGCAACCACAGGGCTGCTGGGCATTAGCCTAACTGTAGTCTCATCTTTTGCAATGTCACTGTCAGGAACTTTTTACTGCCAACAACTATTTAAACATAAAGTGTAAGATAAAACAAAGCAAAACAAACTAGGCCTCTCCAGCCCAGAAAGCACTCTTAGTAAATCACTCTTGAATTTAAAATAATTTTTTAAAAGGCACAGAGCCAGACTTCAATCTAAGTTACCCGGAAGCAAATCCACAGAGCTAAATCACTGTAAGAAAAAAAGAAAAAAATGGGGCCCCCACTGTGTAAAGTGAAGCAAGCTCATGCATTCTGACACATTTACCTTTCCATCCTGGCACAGGTGATTTTATTTTTTTCCTTTCCTCAAGATGCTTCACTATAGCTATCTAACCAACCAGAGGGAAGAAGCCACACAGTTCTGAATGATGTATCTGGGAGATGCACTTGCATATTCTTGGGACTTAACTGTGAAAGTATTAACTGACTTTAAGCTTAAGTCTTGCTCACTTTTATGGTATTTGAAGCTGAGAACAGAGCAGCTCAGAAGAGCTGAATTTTACTTTCTGTTCTGCTGCCTGTCAAGACAAACCCCAACATGCGAGCTGGCTCCTACGCCTCCATTTCTCAACAGGCACAGTGCATGCAGTACTGCAGCCAGGTCAATCCTGCCACTCACATAATTCAGATTAAGGGCACAAATCCATTCTATGAAGTTCAGATTAATATGTTCTACACTCCAACAGGGGTGGACTTAATAAATGCACATGGTCAATTACTACAGTGCAGCTGACAAGCAGTAACTTGTTGAAAGCAGCTGGAATTTAATCACAATCTGTCCACCCCACAATATCCCATAGGTTATTTTCTCACTCTGTCATTTTCACACTCCCACCTGGCCTTTGCCCCTTACACTGACCAATTCTCACATTAGTAATTGCTTTTTTTTTTTTTAATAAATATCCAAGTATAGTACTTTCATGTAAAAAAAAAAAAAAAATGCTACAGACTGTTACTATATTGCCAATGGAACTGATCTCCGTGGCAAAAGCTAAACTACCTGAAGGCATAAAGGGATCATTTGTACTAAATCATACTATATTATAAAGAAAAACTTTCTTATTTGAACCTTGGTTTTGTTTCCTCTTTAGCTACAAAATAGTTTATCCATAAAAATCTAAAATAAACTCTCCTGGTACTCACACTTGTAATTTAATTATATTGCTTCTGGTAGAGGAAAAACAAACAAACAAAAAACCCTCAAGAAAACTTCACGCATTCTTTTGTAGCACATTCTGTTGAACTACTGATTCCTGTTAGTGCTCCAGGCAGCTTCAAATCCTGGGATGGCTGGTCTCTTGGTTTTACTGTTTCTGCTGCAGGATCTGTGCTTATCTGGAGCGTGTAAGCTGGGATGCAGCACTCACTTCCTGCAGGGTGATGGCTTGTAAGATTATCAATGATGTTTTTCACCTGACAGACTACACAAACTGTGATACAAGATTAAAGACCGTAGGCACGTTTAGAAAATCTGGGACAACACATAAACTTTGTTGGGTTGACCGATTTGATTTTCTCCTGCATCTGTTTCTCCAGTGTGTTTCTGATGCTCTGGTACCTGTCCTAATTGAGCCCACAGTCAGTGTGACAGAACTAATTTAAACTACCCTCATATCAAGTTTTGTGAGTCTTCTGCATCCTTTGTGGGCTGGGAAGGAGAGTGTTGGCTAGAAGGTGTATTCTTCCCAGGCTAAGTGGTACATTTTGGGTTTCACTTGATGACAGATTTCTGATATGTACAGTTGACCATATACAATAAGATGAAATACAGAGCCAATTTCAACCTTTAAAAATTCAGGCTATGCCTTATATTAAAGAGAAATTTTAAATGTTAGAAAAAAAAAAAAACAATGCAAGAGAAGCATCTCTGCCAGCTCTCTGATTCTGCCTGGGCTGGAAACACTAGCTTATGTGACAGACACACCCATATGGCAGCCCAGCCTTGGTGGTCTTTCCAACTATCTTAACAACAGGGCATCTAGCAAGTAGCCATAAATATTTGCTAGTCAAACTCAAGCTATGTAAAAGTTATCAGTTACCCTACAGATCAATCACAGTAAACTTGTGCTATTAACCCATTTTTAAGCAACAGATTTGCTTAAATTACCTTCAGTAGTAGTATCAGCAGAGCAGTTTTAAGTTTATACTGAAAAACCCCTCTAAAAGTGAGAAATAGCTTTAGGTTATCCTGCCTTGACTGATGGTGACAAGACCTGGAAACCAAGAAGCAATCACTTCTTAAAGCCGCTCACATGCAATTGCAACAACATCTGTGATTGCATCACAGTTTGCTCCAGAAGTTGGCCATGAGTGTCATTGTTCAGCTTACTTCTAGCTGAGCCATTTAGCACTTCCACAACTTTCACACCAGATTTCTCCCACAAAAATGCAACTAATAGAAGCCTCTCAAGGCAAAGCTGCTTGGCCACCAACAAAAATCAATCCCCTTCAGCTTGTACAAAACCAGCAATGCACTGTTACAACCTTGCCACAACCATTATCGCAATGACTACGTTATTTTAAATTACCATTAATTTCATTTCATCAATTCTCATTATAACCCTTTCATCATTAAAAAGATATATAGTTCATTATAGCTAGTTGTCACTTTTTGATAATGTAACACAACGTGCCCTTCCAAATTTGCTCAGAACACAGCGGATAGGGGTAGTTAACGGATTTGTAATGTGTTGGGGTTTTTTTTAAGGGTACAGGGAGGAGCAAAAGATGAGTGTTAAAGAATATTGAGAAAAAATTGTAAACGTATATGTTGCAATACCAGAAATATTTTTCATCTGCATGCTTTTTTTTAGGAATAACAAGAGAAATAAGAACAAAAGGAGAACAAAACATATGCGGAGTAAGATAAACAAGACACCTGAAACAAGAAACAGGAACACGGATGATGAAGGTGCAACAAGGACATAAGCCTGGAACAGCTGGGTTTAGCTGTGTTACATTGTACACTCCTTCCCCCACACTTCCTTATTTTAACACTTGTTTTTGTTCAAGTTTCTCTTTTTTAACACATCCTAGTCTGCACTAGAGTCAGCTTTGCTTAGCATGGTCTGCTATGAATAGATTTTGGTATAGATCAGGAGCTAGATTTCTAAAGTCTTTGCACTTAATTTCATGCAAACATGAACGTGCCCCTCTTATTCAAGCGAACAGGCACAAATAATTACTTATGTGCACAAGCAACCAGCTGTAGATTTGGCAGTCATCTTGTCCTTTCTATGCATGACTCCCTCACCGTGCTGTGTACCTGAAGTGCTAAATATCTGCTAAACACAGAGACTCTTACAACTCATATACGTTATAACTGCACTGATGTGGGAAGCCATAAGCCTGCCTGCTGCTTTGGATTCTCATGGTATTCTCTTTATCTCGAAGTTCACGTAGCAGGAGATTTATTGCTGAAAGGATAACAATACACTGATTTTCTTTGTGCATTTTCTTTCCAACGTTTCCATTAACAGGCTTATGTAATGCACTGTAAATAATTAAGTAGATACCTACTAATAAGAGGTAGATTGGTTGCTAATGGCCATACTGCTGTCAACTTCAGTTGGACACTACACTACAAAGGCTGCAGATGAACTGAATTCCATCTTGGGACAGGAAGTCTCAAGTATAGTTACTGGGACAGAAATAGCACCTTTCACAAAACAGAAGCCAAGGAAGGAGGAAAGCAGGTTAAACGATGGAGAGAAGGGAAGAAATCTGCTGTGACTTGTCAGTGGCCAGCCCCAATGCTGGAATCAACTGAACTCCAAGATATTTGGGCCATTACTAAAAAAGAAAAAATAAAAAATTTAAACCAGCATAAACAGTTCTATGCAAATGCAGCAGTAGGACTGATCAAAGAAAGTTAAGGCCATCTGATTGTGAAGCTACATCTCAGATCAGGGGCGTAGCCAGCATCCATGAGTTAAAACTCAACTTTTTCTGGATGGTATCTCTGCATACTGTATCCTTCCTAAAAGGATTTGAAGGAGAACAGAAAAGATTTTCATTTTCTCAATTCATCTGCTCTTTAGCAAATCTGTCATACCAGACTAAAGAGCAGGAATCACAAACATTCATCTCACAATGAAACATCTTTAAAGTTTTCATGTATGCTTTTCCCAGAGGATCAGCTCTGCATCTTCTATGCTGGTCCACTGAAATCTGCTCTTAAAAGTTAACATTTTGAAACATTTTTGTATTCTTCTTTTTCCTTTTCGGTTAGGGTTAGCTATGATAATCAAGTTTGAGAGTTTTATTCTGTAACTATCTTGTCTAAGAAACACTTAAAATCAAAATCAGAACTGAGGTGCAAATGCAATTAAAATTTACATCTTAAAAATCCAAATTGACAACTTCTGGTACAGTCTTGAGTCTGCAACACTGCAGCATGTCTGCTCATAAACTCCATAGAGGGAAAAAAGAAAATACTAGAAGGTAATTGTTTTGAAAAGGCATTCTTCCAAACTACTTCATTTACTAAAAACTCTGATTTTAAGCTCTTGCCTGGTGACCACTTGTCCCTTTTAATAGTATCACAATTTAAATGAGTTTAATGGATTTGAATTTCTCTTTTAGAGTCTATATCAATAATGCTTATTCTGCTTTATCACACAAACAGTTACTACCATGCACCAAATTATCTTTAACTCGCCACAATACTGAGACAGTGCTTCACTGGTTCTGTAATTTATAGGTCTGATCGCTTCAAGTTTCCTTTCAGGCCTCTCCGAGATTCATGGGCTGTATACTTCCCTCCGTACATCACTCCTGTTCTGTCAGTCATTGTGCTGGGTCCATGTTCAGAAACATATTGACTAGAGAATTGATCTTTTGACCTGTAACTCACTGAATGGCCTCGCTCCTTTCTATTGAACAGATCTGCAGCAAGCTGCTCTTTGAGGTCAGTTGATTCTGATCTTCTAACTATTTCTAAACATCATTCGGAGGTCACAGAGTGACAGGACCTTTACTTTATTTGCTTCTCCGCCTCGCCACAGAAGGTAGGGGATAGCAGTATGGATTTCACATGTTCTTTCAAAAAGGAGACTATGATATTTATTGGTTGTGGTGTAAATTTACCAGGTTAATTTACAGAAGAGAGTGTAGCCGCAGAAAGTCTAACACAAAAATGATCTTTTTCGGAACTGCAGGAAGTCAGTGGCAAATTCACACGTAATAGTACATATGAACAGCCACTAAATGACAAATGCAGAGTTGAGTATAAAAATACACATGCTTTGTTGAACAGAGATTGCTATCTCTTCACTAAAACAAAATATGGCAATACATTTTTAATATATGTATTTATTTTTAAGATATTAGATATGGGTTTCTTAAAAAACAGATTTCTAGAATTAAAGAACACTTCAAATTTATTCTCTCTTAAAATCATAGACCCCCAAAGAGCAAGAACTCACTAGCAAAAAATTCTTAACAAAAACTCACCCAGAAACTGTTAGGTCAGACAGCTTTATTATGCCAACTCCTGCTGCAACTATAGGTCTCTCAGCTTCAATTCCTGAGTTTGAGTTTGTCACTGGCTAGATGCTCTCGCTCCCAATTTATGAGATTAGTTTGATCACTTTACTTCCTAGTTCCACTGTTTTAAAAAAACAAGACCAAAACAATCTAGCTACCCCATTTTAACAAAGTTGGACAAAACACTTCACAGGCATTTGGTAGCAATAACAGAGTTTGAGATTTTATCTGAAGCATCTAAGGTTAATACAAGATTGCCAAATGAAAATACAGCATCTCCAAAAACAGTTGGAGGATACAAGACAGGATATTCCATATTTAGTCTGTGGTAATGCTCCACAGAGCTTCCCAAAATACTGCTCTGGTAAATACACAATACATTCAGCTCACCAGCATGTTATAAAGACAGCTTGATTTGTAGTAAAGGCTGTCACAACATCATGAAGTCTTACATAGGAACTGGACACATTTGAAATAGGAAGAAGCAACTTTCATGGCAAAATTACATGCAAATTAATGGCACATGCAAATAGCCAATGCAAAATCATCTGTGCAAGTACATATGCATAGTTCTGAATACCTAAATCTGTGTGAGGATACTGTCTAGTACTGCTCCTAACTCAGGTAAAGAACGTTTATTGGAGTATGGGGGCAGACAGCACATCAGAGTCAACAAATCCAGGGGAAGAATACTCAATTACGTGGCATATGTAGATCTGCCAATTTGAAAGTTTCAGCTGTGATGTTGGTGAGATTATTCCTTCTTTTCATGTCCTGCAAGCCACAGAGCATAAGTGTTTCAAGATACAGTGCAAGTTGTGTCCAGAAAATAATTTTTTATTTGACCAGAAACAGTCTCATTAAGCCATCTGCCCTGCTATGTAAGCTAAATACAGTCCTCATTACCTTAAAACACATTTTAAAATAACCATCACTGTCTAGATGGTTCTACACTGGTATGGTACAGTTATCATGGCTTCAGTGAAACCAGCAGACCTGTGGCCACTTGTGGAATTTCTGAGATCCATTACTGGGAAGTTTATCTGAATAATAGCTGAACAGCTCTAAGTTTTCTGAAGCATACAGAAATTAAAGTTTAATCCATACCTTACAAATGCAAGTAAGTACTAGAAATTCTCTCCTGTTAGCTCTTCTGACTTAGAATGTGAGCTTTTTAAAATGTTTTATAAAATAATTTCAGAGGAAAAGAAACTTTACTGAAACAAAATTCTACACAAAACCTCAACCGTAACATACACTTTGTACATGTTGAGCTAGGAATTACTTAAATTGGAATATCTATTGATTTATTTTATTTAATAAACATAACAAGTTATATTTCCAGCTAAAGCTTCTGTCCAGTAACTCACAAGTACCTTATTTTTAATCTCTCAATGAAATTACTACTCAAGAAAACAAAATACTAGTACCACAATCTTCAGGCAGACAACACAAGAAACAAATCAAAATACCACCCCACAATCTAGCTAATTCAAAAACAGCTGATCAAAGTCAGCTATATGTCTTAAAATTTTATGATTACTGTAAATGGACACTTCCAAAATTATTTCAGTGTGAAAAACAGCAGCATATCTTGCTGTCATAAAAATACACAATAGCCAACACAAAAAAAGTCATTTGAATTATGTTAATAGGATTGGGTAGCAGATCATTTTGCCTCTAGATAGCCTCCTTTGGATTGAGCAAGCTGGTAAACACCATAAACTGAGATTATACACTAGCTGCTATCACTTCCTAAAAACATGGCTGTTTTAAACAGTTATCGTAATTTTCAAACTATGTGTTTTAGAAAGTTGAAAAGTTAAATTTGAATCAAACATTTAACTTGAAACTTGTAAAAAAGCAGCTATAGTTCAATGGTTCAACCTCCAATGGCAGTGAGCTGTTTTGCAAGGTCTGTTTCTTCATCACTGCAGTAGAAAAACAAAAATTGAAAGGAAAGGAGAAGTACTGTTTACTATCATATTTACGTGAAGTTAGAGATGTCCTTTTTTCCTGAATGATTTTTTTTTCCCCGCCCAAGGAAAAACCATACTTGGATTTTACTAACTGAAGAAATAAAACCACATCATAAGAGCATGTAGAGTATGAGAGGGTCAGAAGATTCGTTTCAAAATGTTTCACTTCAATTTCAAGGCCAGCTTTAGGCTCAGGAGTGTTACAGAGCAGCAACCTTGATGCTACTCACCCGCTATATCCACTACCACAAGTAGGACATAAGAGTTACCGTCACAGAAACGCAATTCATGACAATATTAGAAAGCTAGAGGAAAGCATCCCAAGGATGAAAATACAATGGGTCACGTCCTTAAACTCTACCAATATACTTAAAATGGCATAACCTAGAACAGCAATTAGGTCCTCTAACTTACTGTCTCAACCAGTTTACCCATCCATACCACTATTCCAGTCAGCAGAGCACAAAGGAAACAAAACAGAGTTTTGTCCTGCTTCTTTCTCAAATCTTAAGCTCTAAAGAGCCACTCTCAGATTTGTCATGAGAGGATGTGAATATTCATGCATAAACCTCTTTTAATAAGTGAATGTTAATGCAGAATATACATAACTTAAAACTATCAAACAGCTATAAATACATTAGAGTAACAGTGTAGATAAGTCAACATGCTTACCTCGTGTGGATTGGTGTAGCCCAAAAGTAGATTTGCTGCTTTAATGTCACCATGAACATACTCATTTTCATGTATATATTCCAAAGTATCCAACTAGGAAAGGATTTAGAACAGAAAACATTATCATCTCCACTCTGCCCTTAACCCTACCACCAAATATTTCTCACTTATACTGCGAGATCAAAGGCTACTCGGACTGAGCTGACAAATTTGTTCTGAGTTAGAGCACAGGATTGCCCACTCTGCCCACAGCATCTCTTCCTATCAGGCACGTAGCTGATGGCAAATCACAAGCAAGCCATACTTTGCCATGAGTATCCCTGTGTAACCACCTACAAGTACCAGCTTCTAAGCTCACAAAGCAAGAATGGAACTAGTACTTTATAAACACTGGACAAACTGCTGAGAACACCAAGCTATTAAAAAAACCCCATATTCAATCAGCCCTGAAGGATTATAATTATTTGATCCTGACAATTATTACAAGATCTGCATTTCATGTCACCACCCGCCCTCCCATCATCGTGGTTCGTCGACACTTTACCAGATAGTTCTGTTACTCTGTAACACATTTGCACTCGGTAACTCATACACAGGACAACCAGACAATTTAATCTTGGCTTTTGGAGAGTACAAAGAGCATTAGAAGTTTGTCAATTGTGCAACTGCAAAAGCTCTTTACTTTTATTTAGTATTATTATTATTATTTAGGTTAAAAGGAAACTCTGGTGGTGTCCAGTCTAAACACCCTGCTTCAAGAAGGACTAATGTAAGTTAGATCAGGTTGTACAAGAGATAGAAGTGTCAAGTTATAGAAGTCACCAAGTACAGATGTTTGACAGCCTCTGGGAAGCACTGAGACATTCTTTCTGAAAAAAATGTTTCCTTTATATTCAGTTGGAGTTCCTCTTCTTGCAACTTATGACCATTGCCTCTACTCCATTTGCATCTCCCTTAACAGCAGTCTTTCACAATACAACTGATATTACAAAGGAGCATGGATAAAATCTTCTGTTAGTATGTGCCAGTCTATACACCTGAAAACAAAACTGATATTTGCAGACTGGCCTAATCCTGGTCTGTACAATCAGCGTGTTCAGCAAACACACTGAAAATTTTGCATTCAGGTATGCAATTGTGAACTCTGACAAATATGGATGTCTAATACAATAACCTTCAGACAACGGGAAAAAAAAATCAATACACTTTAAAGCACATGAGAATAGGCTAACACATCTCAGTCTAGACACAATTTGAAGTGTATGGTCTATATTTTAATCTATGAGAAAGAATTTTGGTTTAAGCCCACTGCTTAAACCAAACTGCTTGAGAGAGTCCAGCACAGAGCCACCAAGATGATTAAGGGAGTGGAGCATCTCCCTTATGAGGAAAGGCTGAGGGAGCTGGGTCTCTTTAGCTTGGAAAAGAGGAGACTGAGGGGTGACCTCATTAATGTTTATAAATACGTTAAGGGCGAATGTCAGGAGGATGGAGCCAGGCTCTTCTCAGTGATGCCCAGTGATAGGACAAGGGGCAATGGGTGTAAACTGGAACACAGGAGGTTCCGCTGAAGTTTCAGAAGGAACTTCTTTACAGTGAGGGTGACAGAGCCCTGGGACAGGCTGCCCAGGGAGGGTGTGGAGTCTCCTTCTTCGGAGACATTCAAAACCCACCAGGACTCCTTTCTATGTGATCTCATTTAGGTTCCTGCTCCGGCAGGGGGATTGGACTAGATGATCTTCCGAGGTCCCTTCCAATCCCCAACATTCTGTGATTCTGTGAACTTTCAGTCTGCAGGAGGTCTTGATTTTCAACTTGATTGTCATTTTTTAAAAAATATGAAAAATAAGAAAATATATAACATTTACATATGTTTAATTCTAAACACAACGGCTACCAAAAGACATATGAGAAAGATAATTTGCTAGTTGAATTCAGCAAGTTGGAGACATAGCAATTTCCTCTCTCTGTGTACATACCATTCGTGCCCCAAGTTGCAGAACAGTCTCCTTCTTAAATCTGCTTCCACAATCTTCAAAGATTCTTTGAAGGTCTTCTCCCAGTCTTTCCATGACCATGAATCTATAGCTACAAGGAAATATATAAAATGGAGGAATCCTTTAAGACAAGACTGTAAGTTTGTGTCAGACTGGGAGGACGTATCTCCATTTTGTTGAAAATGGATCTTCAGTCAATTTGAGGCTTAATTACAATACATTTTATTACCTTTTTCCCTTGTACTCAGCCAAGCCGGATCCCCAAAACACTGGAATTCCTAAACATCTTATTTTTTTGAGATTCATCCATTTTCTTACTGTAATAATAATAAAAAGATAATATTGGGTTAAAGGTAACTAGAGAATTTCAGGTTTGGCGTGGGGTTTTTTTTGGTTATTTTTGTTTTAACTATCAAACCAAGACTTTGAATGAAACAAACAATACATTTGGCAGTCTGTGTAGCTAACAATCAGAAAATAACTTTGCAGTAAAGTTCTCCGCATTCTTCAAAACAAGAAGCATTTTTTTTGTTCTAGCAATGTGGTACTTTATTTCCTTAGAAGGCAGATAAGCAACTATCAATAGCTGAAGAAATAATTCCTTTAGAAGCTCTACTTCATTCAATACAGAATGCTTCAAGGTATCAAAAGTGCTCATGTCTACCAGTGATCTAAGTCATCTAAAGTCTTTAGGGCAGTTCCCATGAATAAATCACATCCTTGCTTAAGTGTCTCCAGAATCAAGTGCCTTGATTACCACTAAATCCTGTGAAGATTACACAAGCTCTTAGCCCTGCACATGGAAATGGTTACTAGCAGAAATATGGTCACCAATTAGTCCATGTAGTACCTCTTTTCTAAGGCTGGCCTCTCTCTGGAGTCCATTCATTGCTGTGCACTCTGCAGTGTGCATGCAATAAATTCGGCATGCTTCTGTTCTCCCTTCTGACCAGAAAGGACAAGGGTAACAACCAAGTAAAGAAACCTATAGCAACCTAAAACTATTATAGCACCAGCTAGGATTAGTTCAGTGTATGTGAAATGAGTTGGCTACCAAGCTCTAAAGCAACAGTTCTTATCAGAAGTAGTTAAACCCAAACTTGTTCTTAAACCTATCTGAATCAGAACTGATATATTACTTACTATGTTCTTGTTTTGCAGCCCTCTGGTAAAATTTCAGTTCAGAAAATAAGGGGCCATTTTCAAGATATTCCTATTGAGAAATAAATAAACTTAGTATCATAAAATGTATTAGATACACAACAGTTTCTAAAGAAAAGCATATGAGAAATTCAAAGAATGCAAAACCCCCTTTTTCCCCACCTCCCATATACTATGCCATCCGAAATATAATTCTAGTAAGTAGCTAAAAAGAAAAATTGTTTGGCAACACATTTTCATAAACAACACAGATTATTTCAAGAATTATGTAAGCCCCTGTTTCTGGAAATATTGTAGATCAGGTGTGTTTAATGATTTCCCTTAGAAAAGTGTTGAGGGCAGTGACTGAGGAAAGAATCAAGTCAAGGAAATTCTCTGTGTCATGGAAATGACAAATATATCCCCAAGCAGGGAAAGTATACCAAGATATTAAAAAAAACGGGAAAAAAACAAAAGCCACAAACATTCAATACAGAGTAAATGCTGAAAATAAGGACAGATAATTAAGAGAAAGAACTGCATACAAGTTAAGAATTTAGAAAGGAGATCTATACATTACCACTTTAATTACATGTACTGCATCATCTTCTACAGGAACATGAGTTTGAGGGGAAGCTGCAAAATGAGAAAGAGATGGGACTCAAGCTGGATGCAACAAGATATAATTGCAAACAAAGACCAAGCTAACACTGCATAAGGTGACCTAAAGATACCCAACATTTTGTCTGAATTCCTGCTTTTAAAGGTCAAAGTTTTGCCACATTCAAAGAAAAGCAAAACCAAACCAATATACACACAGAAATTTTAATCAACAAGTACAGAAGCAATTTTAACCCACATTTTCAGAACTCTCTCCCTTGATGCTAATTAAAGAGTAAGCAGGATGTCCCCATTGCACGCCTGCACCGCAGTGAGGTATTCCATTATAACAGACTGTGTTTAAGTCATTCCAGGATATTGGTTAACCACTGCATTTGGTTGCTGTCAATCCACTGTTGTGACAAAGACACCACTTAAAAGTTATGACCTACATTATGCCTCTAGACAGGATTGTCTGCTTTCCTCTATTACAAATTAATTTGGCCCTAGAACCTTGATTTCTATTTGGACATTATTTAGACACTGGTCTAAGTTAGGGATAGCACAGCCACCACCTGCCTAAAGGGGAGATAAGGGATTGTGCCTCTTAGCGCAAGTAGAGATTTCAAAACAATAATTGACCACATGTGCCAATTACAGCCCGGGAGACAGAACCTCTCTGCACAGACAATGCAATCCTATTTTCTTCTGACCCTGAGAGAACTATCAGCTCACTCTGATACTACTGAAGCTACATGTAGCTACAGTGGGATTAAAATTTAATGAGACTAAATCATCTTTTAGAATCATCACTGAAAAAAAAAAAAAAAAACTAAGAAGAACACAGTTCCTAGGAAATAAGTATCCCTTTCAAACTTCTTATAATGATCAAACACTAACAACAGTCCAGGTGTGAAACACTTCAACTATCAGCACACACAAAAATAGACTACTTTTATCCACATAATAAAAATCAAGCAAACTCTGATCTAATCAAGCCACCCAAGCTTACTTTTTTTTTTTTATGGTCAGGGCATAAAAATATTTTTACAACGAACAGACTCCATCAGTTGCCATCTTCATTCAATTCTGTTCAGCACCTGGGTTGAATCTGACAGCATACACACCCCAACACCCACAGGGTCCCCACTGCCTTCTGCTTGACACTTCCCTGTGTGAATGCTTCTGTGCTAATAACACATTAAGATACAATGAACCTACCCTAAAACAGTAGCTCTGGAAGGTGTGAACTACCCATGGACTCAGACGAGTAGCGGTCACATTCAGAATGTAATTTAAAACTATCATACAACCAGGAAGGAAATTTTGGTAAACTTTGGTCTTACCATATTATTGTCCTGAACTGGGACTTAAGGCACAGGTGCTTAAGTCTTCATCTTTCTCTGACACATGTAAGACTATGTGCTAATAGCTGAAGACATTAGTTTAAAGGAACAAATCCCGTGTGTTTTTATTGGATTGCACAAAATCACATTAATCACAGACTGGTTTGGGTTGGAAGGGACCTTAAAGATCATCCAGTTCCAACCCCCCTGCCATCAGCAGGGACACTCCCCACTAGACCAGGTTGCTCAAAGCCTCATCCAGCCTGGCCCTGAACACTTCCAGGGAGGGGGCATCCACAGTTTCTCTGGGCAACCTGTGCCAGTGTCTGACCACCCTCACAGTGAAGAATTTCTTCTTAATATCTAATCTAAACCTGCCCTCTTTCAGTTTAGAGCCATTTCCCCTTGTTCTGTCATTAACTGCCCTTGAAAAAAGTCCCTCCCCAGCTTTCTTGTAGCCCCTTCAGGTACTGGAAGGCAGCTAGAAGATCTCCCTGGAGCCTTCTCTTCTCCAGGCTGAATAGCCCCAACTCTCTCAGCCTGTCCTCACAGCAGAGGTGCTCCAGCCCTTGGATCATCCTCGTGGCCTCCTCTGGACTCATTCTAACAGGTCCATGTCTTTCTTGTGTTGGGGGCCCCAGAACTGGACACAGCACTCCAGGTGGGGCCTTACAAGAGCAGAGTAGAGGGGGAGAATCACCTCCCTCGACCTGCTGGACACACTCCTCTTGATGCAGCCCAGGTTACATTTGGCCTTCTGAGCTGCAAGTGCACATTGCT